AATTTTCAAACTTTTCTCCAATGTCAAGGAGATGTAAACCAAATATGCTTTACTTCTTCACTTGACCTTTTTAAGGTTATTATATTATGGCTTTTGATAAAATTTATAATCAATTTTCCATTGAAATACCAACAACATGTTTCAAAGAATTAGGAAAAACAATCCTAAATTTCATATAGAATCAAAAAAGAACCTGAAGGGCCAAAGCAATGCTAAGCACAAAGAACAAATCTGGAGGCATCACATTACCTGACTTCAAATTATATTACAAGGCTATAGTAACCAACACAGCACAGTGTTGGTATAAAAGTAGAGGCATAGATCAATGGAACGGAATGAAGAACTCAGAAATAAAACCATGTACCTACAACCAAATGATCTTTGAAAAAGCAGACAAAAACATATAGTGGAAGAGGACGTTCTATTCGATAAACGATGCTGGGAAAACTGGATAGATACACGCAGAAAAATGAAATTGGATCCCTGTCTCTCACCATATACAAAAGTTAGCTTAAGATGGATTAAAGACTTAAATGTAAGACCTGAAACAATAAAAATCCTAGAAGAAAACTTAGGAAAAACTCTTCTGGACATCAGTCCAGGCAAAGAATTTATGATTAAGACCCCAAAGCCAATATAACAAAAATAAAAATAAATAAAAGGTACTTAATTAAACTAAAAAGTTTCTGTACAGCAGACAAAATAATCATGACAGTAAATAGACAACCTAAAGAATGAGAGAAAATATTCACAAACTAAACATCCGACAAAGAACTATTATAATATCCAGACTCTATGAGGAACTCAAATAAATCAGCAAGAAAAAAAACAAATAACCCCATTAAAAAGTAGGCAAAACACATGAACAGACATTTTTTCAAAAAAAAGATATACAAATAGCCAACATATGAAAAAATGCTCAACAAAAACTAATCATCAGGGAAATGCAAATTAAAACCACAATGAGATACCACCTTACCCTTATCAGAATGGTCATTAAAAAGTCAAAAAACAATAGATGTCGGTGTGGTTGTGATGAAAAGGGAACAATTTACACACTCTTGATGGAAATGCAAATTAGTACAACCACTATGGAAAACAATATGGAAATTCCACAAAGAACTAAAAGTAGATGTACCATTAAATCCAGCAATCCCACTACTGGGTATCTAACCAAAGGAAAAGAAATCTATATCAAAAATACACTTGTACTCGTATGTTTATCACAGCACAATTCACAATTGCAAAGATATGGAAATCAACCTAAGCGCTCATCAACTGGTAAGGGGATAAAGAAAATACACATACACACACACACACACACACACACACACACACACACACAGAAATACTACCCAGCCATAAAAAAGAATGAAATAATGTTTTCCACAGCAACTTGGACAGAACTAGAGGCCATTATCCTAAGTAAAGTATCTCAGAAATGGAAAAATAAATACTGTATGTTCTCACTTATTAAGTGGGAGCTAAACTATGGGTATGCAAGTCACATAGTTGCAACCCTAGAGACTCAGAAGGGAGCAGGGTAAAAGAGGGGGTAAAGGATCAAAAATTACCTATGGGTTCAAAGTACACTATTCAGGTGATAGGTACACTAAAAGCCCTGACTTCACCACTATACAATTCATCCATGTAACAAAAAAAATCCTTAAATCTATTGAAATAAAAAAAAATTTTTTAAAGAAATGTATAACCAATTTTGATAATCTTTATTAATCAGGGTTATTAATTAGGTTGTAAGTTAATAAATCAAAAATTTAAACTTCAGAAATTGACTTTAAACTCTAGATTCTGATCACAAACATTTAAAAAAGCCCTACCTCAAAGAGTTGTTATGAAGATTTAAAAAAGGACTCAAAAAAAAAAGTTAGCAACTGAGCTCCCAATATGTGGTAGTTGTCACTAAGAAAAGAACCACAAAGAAATATCAAACTGTTTTCAGTTGTTAGTAGCAGTATTAGTATTGTAATTTTGATATAAATAAATATACAGGTAGGAAAAACATAAGTAAAACATAATTAAAAGATCATAATACTGTAATAATGTTATTATCACTAAAAACCAACATTTTCAGAATAAAAGAGATACAAGC